TTATCAATAATTTAGAAATAAATTTGTCGATCTCTTTTTGACATTTCATAGGGAGCCCTATTAAGAGATAAAGCCCGTGGTTCTCTGACCGACCGACCGACCGACCGACGCCTGTCGCCGCCGGTGGCCTACGAATGCTATGTACGGCAATGCTCAGTGCTTGATTCTCAGAAACGTCGCCGGCAGCGGACAGTGTGAGCGGATAAGGTCGCACACCGCACGCGTCGGTTGGTATCATATTTGTACCATAGCGACGGGCGCACGACGTCCTGGCTTTAAAATGAGTTTTAATAAAGGAAAAATGAATTGTTAGTTATTTTTTATAACGATATAATACTATCTTGTTCGATGCATCAAACAACAATTTATGTGGGTAGGTGATTTTATGAATATTGAATTGGTTTTCCATTGTGTAAGAACTCAAAACGTAAATAAACTAGAGAGGTACATTCCGGCGAAGGCGTATAGGTAACCATTTGAGCTTAACACGATACTGAGAGATGTGATCATATTTGCGTAAACCGAATATGAATCTTATGCAGACATTTGGGAGACGATCAAGTTTGTTCAATAGATTTTCGGTAGGATCTAGATAGCTAACATCATCGTAGTCAAGTACAGAAGGGAGAAGAGATTGTGCTAGGACGATTTCGGAAGGAAGTTATGAAGTCTTCGCAATGACCCTGCTGCAGCAAATAATTTTCGACTAACTTCCCAAATTTGAGGAGCCAGGACTAGAACTTGTCCACAGCCAATGGATAATTGATAAGATTTGAATCGACTGAATTGCTTCTTGCTCATCGTAACTTGTAATATCTAGGCGAACCAACGCCTGGGTATTAAAAATCGAATTGGAAAGCGAAGCTTCCGAACAGCGCGAACATAGTGCTCAATGTCATTTCCAAGTTTTAAAATAATAAAACAACGCGGACATCGGATCGATATTAAACATGAATATTTTAGTAGCAAAACTCCGCAGTGAAGAAACTATCGGCTTGGCCATTCGTCAATTTTTGTGTTTAATTAAGTGCATTTTCGTTAATTCATTTAATAAACCTAATCTAACTACCCTAAACCTACTCCAAGGTTGTAAGTCCCAGGCGCTGCCGCAGTCGGAAGTGTTGCCCCATCTGCCACACGATGGACCCGGGACCCGAAAGGCAAATCCTTGGAAAGCTAAGAAATAGATCGTCATTTAAAAGACAAAATATCGCGTGTTTATGTTTTAAACATCTTTGAGAAACAGAAATAAAACGAGATCTGTGAAAATGCGTGTTTATACGTTCCTAGAATACAGCGCAATACAGGCCTGTGCACTAGAATTGCAACTTGGAGAATAAAACAGGCGAAACGTGCACATCTCCCGATAGACCGTTCACGGCACAACATAACATATATGGTTTGAAAAATCATGGCAGTCATAGTTATTGTTACAAAAGGCGTGCGACGTTACAACCAACCAAATGGGACACGTCTGAACTTCGAACTTAATAGGTTATGCAACAGTTGGGTCTATTTATGATGGTGACATCTATAATTCATAGTTCGCTAGAATTAGTTTTGAACCATTTCTAGTGTAATAATATGTTTATGTAAAGGGTATTCTACATTTTGGGCACATTTTACACACAGGTTAGTGACACTAAAACTAGGATCACTACTATAGTTAGACCTATTTATGGCTATAATCTTATTTAACTAATCTAGTGAAATGAACTTCCTATGGTTTTGTTTTTTTTTAGATTGGACATTGTTTTGGTTGTCATATTTTCGTAGCAAAAGGCAAAGATTAAAACAAGACAAAAGTATTATGTCATTTGACTAGTTCTTTATCATGTAAATATTTTAAGGTATATAGTACTTTTGTTGTAAATATCCAACAGATTGTTGTAATTTATGTTCATTATTTGGCATGACTACTTATAACTGTGACGGTTGTCATAAAAAAGTTATTTGGGGGGACCAATTTTATTTAAAATGTACAGCCAGTTGCACAAATAAAAAAAAAACATATTTATTATTATACTGGATTACTATAGTAAGATAGTTGTTAATCACTCTCATACAGTTATATTATTATAAATATTTAATTGTAAAACTAGGGATACAACCACCGTACTGCGGCATATATATCAACAGATTATAGATAAAGATTACCTCGATAAACAAGGCAAAACTACTATGACATCGATTACAAAAAAATATATGACATCGATCCCATTCTCGAAATGTAAAGTTTCAATATGTTTGGTGTATGTTAATTATTTTTTAATAATTAATGTAATATTTTTCTAAAATGTACCTATTTAATAAATCTAATGTCTGGACCTAAGATGTACCAGAAAGATGTACTTCGTGTACAGCTAAAAATCAATATTTTGCAGAAAAAAAATCTGCACGAGATAATTTACGTTAGAAACCATTTTTTTAAAACACGATAGCAAACTCGACGCGATTCTAGTGTAAATGTGTGAAATATGCATTTTATTTAAATACTTATTTCGAAAACCCACCGAACACAAAACAAATATAGGTACTATATTCTCTGTTCCGTGTGAAAACTAACCAACAATATTCATTTTTAAGATGAACCTCATAAAGAAAAGATGAGTCAAATGTTTAAATGTTAGCATCGGTAATTCTTACAAGTGTATTTTTTCTTTTGTGTCAGTACATGAAATTCAAATAAGTAAAATATGAATGTTATCTATGCCTATTAAGTTATCACTCTACTCTGTCATTTACTAACTGCGAATACAAAAAAAATACTATAACAACCATCACAACGTGAAAGTTAGTATACTTGTGTTATTCGCGCCTTGCATAACGCTTCGCAGGAGACATGACAGTAACCGTCACCTACAAATCAGATGCGTGCTTCGAAACGCGAGTCAATCGACACGTTTATACTTAGACCACATCTTGGAGCAAGAAGCTGTCACGTATTCAAGTCTTTCGACATTTATTCTGTACCTCACCGTTTTGTAATCGTCTGTGGACTCCATGCTTGTGCTTTAAGCGAACATATTTAAAAACTCTGCAAGTGGATAGTTTTGTAAAGTCTAACTATAGCTAGGTCTATTTACCATGTTTTCAAGTGTAATTACACTACATTTTTGACCTTTTAACAGGACAGCATTGGAAGTATTTAATATGATTGATACAATCGACTTCCCTACCCAGATCTGCTTCATTTTAATTTATTAAATTCAATATTATAGAAAAACAGAATTAACTTATCCCCTTAGCCCTTATCTGCGTTCTGAAGATGACGACCAACAGAAAGTGCAAAACAAGTGCAGGAGGAAATGTAGATACGTAAGTACGTAGACTGTGTTTAGTCTAGCAAACATTTAAACCTTTCAATATTGTATTTAAAGGTGAAACTTTAATATTTGATTGGAAACTCAATTACCGCTTCAAAACTATTTTATTATGCAGCATTCTAAGTATTTTTAGGAAACTGTAATATCGGATTAAATTTAGTTTGACGTGCCATTATTTACTTTTTGGTAAAATTTAGTGATTGATTTAGATACTTTATGTAGACTTTGAGAAGACTATTATGTATTGAATATTGAGAAGTTTTACTATATGTGTTTCGGTAAGCTGAGTTGACAGTCCTCCCGCGCTCCGGCAACCTTACGCTCTCTAAGGGTGCTCTAACCCCTAGAGATTATCTCTCTCAATGAAAAATTAAGTTCACTGACACGCTCGAGAGCTTGACTTTTGTTTTGACTCTAAAAATTAAAGAATTTAAACTCCTATACGTAAATAAAGTTTACTTACTTTTATAGGTAATGCTTCATCATACGTCTCATACGATTATGTTTTTTACATAGGATAAAAGAAAACTTTTATAAGTAAAAATAAACTTTTTGAAAGTTTATTAAGTGAAGTTCCTAGAGTAAAAGTACTTATTGTCGAATAAGCATATTATTTTTGCAATAAATATTCTAGCATGTTGTACTGTCTAATCATGCCACAGGGTTTTTTCAACATACAACCAATGTTTGATGCCCTGTCCCGGTATCGACTAATAGGCGAAGTGTAGATATTATATTGAAATTGAATTCATACTAATTCCACTACGACGTATGTAGTAGTAAAACGTCATAAGTGTTTGCAAAGCATGTGTAAATATGGTTCTAATGTAAAACTCGCAGTATTTTTTGTGACTGTGTCCACTAAACATAGATATATGGTATCCGACCACATACCAAGCAGATTGTTAGATATTTAAGAAACTGTTCTAAAATCAATGGTTTAATGAATTAATGGTTTATTTATAAAAACTACAATAATTTAACAGTTTACGTAACTGGTTAGCTGGTAATTCAAAATAAACACGTATTCAAAATTTGGTTTTATTACCTCATTCGTCTATCAAATAAAAATAGATGTGCGTTCAAGACATTTTTAAGAATAAATAACACCGTCGTTCTGGGACAAATCTGTATAACGTTTTTAAATGTGAAACAGGTGGGTTGTATGATTGTGCAATCAGGTGTATCACTATAAGCACAAGACTACTGTGTTAATTTCATATGTGTATAATAAGCGGAGTTCCCATGCTCGAGCTACTTCAGTCCGCAGTGGGGCAAACGTGGCCTACTGACAATATTTGGTGTCATAATCACAATGCGTCGCTAGGCCACCACGAAAGAAAGAACCACACGATAATTTGACAGTGCAATGATGTACATACACCGTAATGTGTTCGTTAATTATACGATCAAACAATTCTCGAAACATGTTCCGTGAGCCCACTATAATTCAGTAAATCTTAAAACACTGTTTCACACAGCCAACTCTATCGCAGGATAGCGCGAAAAAACCAATGCTGCGTTGCCCACACCGTGCAGCCGAGCGTACAGCGTACGAGCAGGTAGACTCCACAATGCATATACATTATGTAGGTAGGTATCTAATCTATCTTTATACAACACTTGTCTTCGTTGAATAGGTAATGAATGACATTCACTATAATTATTAATCTCTCAGACCTCATGTCCCCAATTAATCTTAGCAGACTCCAATTCGAATACAGACACTGAAAATAACACTGTCATATTGGAAGCATCATCAGTGGGTACTGTAGAGTAATTCAATTACAGGTATTTGGCACGTTACTATTCACATGTTCTAAGAGAATTTTTTCATCACCGATAATTTGTATTTTATTAGATAGAGCATGGTAAACTTACCACTATTTGTATCCACATAAGCAATTTTCAGCTCCATTTCGATACTTTGTGAAGGTTTTGATTCAGTAGAATTAACATATTCCATGGGGACTTCTAGGTCGATCTCACTTTTTGCTTGACTCGTGGAGGCAACTATACTGTGCGCTACACTCATTTTTGGAGCGTCTTCGTGCATTTATACACAAATTAATGACCGGGGCGACAGGATAATGCCGCCCACAGAACTTATAATATATCTTCTATACCGTATAGAGATAAGTTTTCTTAAAAAAATCACTCATATAAAGCGATAATTCGTTTTAAAAACAAAATGTAGGTCTCTAGGCCACTTCACTTACACTTTGATATTCCGACCGACATAACTCAGGTTCAATGGAGCTACCGTACTCATGACTGACATTGAAATAAGTCCGGTAAAGGGCAGTGAGAAATTAACCCAATTTGAAAAAAAAAACTGCTGTCATGACCTATTTCATGAAAAAAACGATTATTGATATTCCTTATTTTCTTTAAAAAGTATTAGTTATTTAAGATATGCTAATACGTGATATTAAGTGGATATAAACAAATGAAAGTACTGCGAGGTATATATTTCAGATAGTGTGGAAAAAACATGCAAATGATGCAAAATGACTACGTTTACTTATGAACATGCTGTGTTGTGTAATAAATGACCGTTTCTATTGCACAATCCTTTCACAAGGGCTTCGAATGTAGGTCAATCTTTATGAGCATGATTGCAATGTATAACTTTATATGTATAAGGGAGCATAATTCAATGCGCTAAACTAATTTTGTAATTTAAACGGATTCTTGTGTACATATTTTTTATTTTATAGTATTTAGAATATTAAAGATAAAATAATGAATTTCTGATTTCCGGTGCTCACCTAACTCCATCTAGATTGAAAATAAAACTCATAAACTTATAGTTACTTTCGGTTAAGCTAGATGTCGTTAATATGAACATTGAGTTTGATAACACTACGTCTCTACTCGTTTTTGTAAATCCTGTTATAACTTACTTCAAATATACCATATATAAGGAAATATATTATAAAAATAATACAAGAAATGAAAGCCGTATTTTCTCATGATTCTATAAGAAATAATAAGAATGAAGTAGGACTGTGATGTAATTTGCCCGTCCATTAAGCGCCCGCTTATAGGGTTTCAAGAACTCGTTGCTCCATCTGTTGACCATAACGATTATCGTATTGCGACCAAAATTTGAAGAAGTACCGTCTTACTGTTGTAATATAGACCAGGAAAAGGAGTCGACTAGATTAGATAATTAAAAAACAATGCCAACCTATTAAATAACCTATTTAAATGCCTATCGGAACATCATGATAATATTAATAAATGCAACTGCTGATTATTTGTAATTTGCTGTTAAAGTTGCAAAAACGTATTATTAGATATTATAAATTGTCCTCGACTGTTTAGGAAGAAATGGTATTAAAAGAAAGCTGAAGAATATTAAAATTATCTACAAAATGCGACTGGTGCATTACAACTGGTTATTTTGTTGTTTTACAACATGCAAAAAACTGCTACAATTCGTTGTTTTTTTTAATATTACAAAACAATTATAAACAATTAATTTAAAACAATAATAAACATAGGATTACCAAACTTTGGTAAATCATAGGCTCTGATGTATGATATATGTAGTTCGTTGCACAGTTTTTGGAAAAAGCCATGTACCTATTTATTAAAATATATTTTTCTGCAACTTAATACACACACAAATACAACACTGTACAACTTTTCAAAAGCTGAAATAGCTTTTGAAAGTTGTACAATGTTGTATTTAGGCTCATTACCTTCCTTAAGAGTTGGGCTTTGAATCTGTGTTCATTAGGGTGTCCCGTCAATGTATGGGATTTTTTTTTTTTTAAAGCGACGGCTACGCAAGAGTTATCAAAAGTTGCGTTTTTGTGAATAGATTACAAATATAACAAAAATTAATTAAATATTTGTCATCTTTAGGCCTCTACCGATCCTAGAAGTTTTTCAAATTTGCCATATTTAGAGGTTTCGAACATAAACTATAAATGATACAAAAATAATGTTTTAAAGGTTTTAATCAAATTTATAGGTACTACAAAGACATAAGGTAATGTTCAGTAAAGTTTAAATACTTATAATTAGTGCTTATTTCAAATACAAAATTGGTTCTTGTGGCCAAAATTAGGCATTTCCGCGCGAGATTTTAATCTGTTTCTTATTAAACCATCCCGAGCTGTAGCGTCCGTGACACTTAGAGAAGCCTCCGTCACTAGCTTTACACATCTTTCCACTGATTGTGTATGACAGGGGAAATCAATAACATCGAAGCTTTGTTCTTTAGCCTTAATTCTCAGTTCGTCGTCGGACATCTGTCGCAAAATCGGTGGAGCGGATATCTCACACTCTTGCCAAAATATCAAATCCATGTAATATCGCGCATCGAAGTTAAGTTTTGGTACTCTCTGTCGTCGAATAGCATGGTAACAAGTAAGTTTTCAGGGTGAGCAAAAAAAAGCGTTTCTCTCGATCACTGAATTCACAATAGATCTTTGCTTATCAGGCAAAAATCGGGAGTATGTAAACCATTTGAAAAATATGATTTGCTCCATCTTTGAATGATGAGTTTTTCTTAATGAGGAACCAAACTGGAGCATAAACTTTGACCACATAATTGACAAGCAGCTTTAAATTATTTGATGGCGAAACAGTACTTACATAAAGTCTGAGTATGCGATTGGCAGTAGTTAGCCATCTTGAATGCGCCATTTTTCCAGGTTGGCGGCTCGCTAACTCAGGGGAACAAGAACCAGTCGTCACAGCATGACACATTTCATACAGATACTTTTGATCCGTACTTATTTCCTTCACAATGTCATCAGGTAATTCGAGCAAATTGCCAGCCACTGCACAAAAAGACACTAGTGGTTTACTTTCACAAACATTTAGCTGTTTTCCAATAGGTCCTGAGTATTCTTTCGGCCCAGATGTGCTACCATCTAGAGACATAAACAAATGGCGAAGCGGTAATTCATTTGTGTGAAGCATACAAACACACCATTGTAACGGTCTCTTCAAATAGTCTTCCAGGTATTTAATGACACCTCCTTTCCAACCTGTATTTGTAGGAGTGCCATCGCAACCCACACAACTTATAAATAACACGATTCCAAAAAAGCACTTAACTTTGTTGTCATAGCTATCGTTTCTCTTACTTTTAGGATATCTTATTAGTGATAAATATTTGTTAAAATATGCGGTTAGCAGTTGAGTAACCCGTACGTTAGAAACGATGGGAATTGAAGCTTTGGTCCAAATTGTGTAAATAAAATGCTGGTAGAGCCCTAAGGATATTTTTAAATATTTTTTGAATTATTTTTACGCTAATCTACGTCTAACAGCGCAACTTTTGAGAGGTCTTAAGTAGCTAAAATAAGAATAAAAAATTTTCGGGACACCCTAGTGTTCATGACTAAGGAATCGATTTTTTAAGGGGCCTTGCAAAACTTAGTTGCAAAAGAGTGCTTAGTTGTTGTCCTTTTCCTGATACTTTACTATTTTACTACGAAAATATCTTTTATGACAGTTGCGAAATCGAGAGTTGATCGGAACTGAATTTTGACCGATCTTTTATTAAGGGAATTAGCCTTCAGATCAATTTTATGTTCATAGAAAATTTAATGACAAAATTTTAGAACTTAGTTGGTGCAAACAAACAAAATAAGATGTTGATGTTTGTACCTATGAAATTAATTTATTATTATTATTATATTAATTAATTATCGCGCGCCAATTCTAAATTCAAATTAATGTTATTTTAATTTAAAATTCGAGTTTTAGGATCATGAAAACACTATCCAAATCATTCAATACTTTTAGATAGTGTTTAGTTCTTGTGAAATGGTGGTAGCTTTTGGCCCCATGGATAAACTGAAAATTCGTAAAATTTTCGAATGTGAGTTCATACGTTGAAATACCACTGTTGAAACAACACGAAACATTAACGACGTTGTACGGGCCTAAATACCGCTGGCCATAAACACTGTCTATTATTGGTTAAAACATTTAATAATGTCAAAATTTTATAGATAATTTAGGCCAGTACTTGAAAAGTAAAATTATTATTTTTTACAAAAGGAAATTAGGTATGAAGTTGAATTGAAAAAGAATTGTATTAAATTGAAAAGGTATGAAATTGCCGTTGTTATAGTAATAGATACTTTGAATTGACATCAAACTGTCATGGTGTGAGATTTTTGTTTTTTTACATGATAACTATGGAGTATTTTTCTTTTAAAAATGTGGCACATTTGATTTTCTGACTTTCGATTGTTTTTTATTGCAGCTTATACGTGAAAGATGGAAACTACGAAAATCAGAGTCAATTTTGAATGCGAGTTCCGAGGTGGAACTAACGTCTGTGAGAGGATGACTGTGCTAATGAACGCACCGTGCGTTTTTGGTTTAAACGTGTTCGTAATGGAAACTTTGACTTGAAAAACGAACACGTGGGAGACCACCCACACAGGTGATTAACGCTGAATTGAAGGAGATGGGGGAAAGCCGATCCGAGTCAAACTACCTGGGAAATTAGCGGCATGGTTTAACGTTTACGAAAACCGTAAGCAAACACTTCAATGACTGACCTGACCTGACCTGGAGTCAAACGCCGCAACGTGCCCTAAAGCAACTTTTTACCAATAAAAACGTAAGGGTAATTTTTGGTGGTCTCTTCATGGCGTTATTCACTATAGCTTTATCAGGTCGGGTCAGGAAATAACAGCGGATGTTTACTGTGCCAAAATTCGAACAATGATGGCGAAACTGGCAAAAGGACAGCCCCGACTCGGAATCGATCTTCACCATTATTGCTCCATGATAACGCAAGAAACCGTTATAACTTTACAGGAGCTGCAGTTAAAAAACCATACCTACATCACCCTCCGTACTCGCCAGAACTTGCTCCAACGGATTATCATTGTTTTTCGTGATTTGGACAATTTTTTTTTAGGTAATAAAAAAAATTTCCTTCCCAGGAGCAGTACTAATGCTTTCACACAGTTCGTCGAATCTAGACCCCCAGAGTTATCGTTTAAAGGCATAAAATGAACTTCCATTTAGATGGCAGCAATGTATAGATAATGAGGGTAAATATTTTGATTAAATAAATATTTTACATCTTTTTAATAAAACGCGTTTCAATTTTTCAGTACAAATCGGCCATTTCATACTTTAAATATTTAAAAAATTTTTATACAAATCTCCAACTTCATAGGACCTTTATATTACTATACAATGTTTCGACATAAAAAATATATTTTTGCTCAAGTATTACCTCGGGGTACCCACTATAAATTGCTTAGGTACCTATAATAATTTACCAAATTCGGTATTTATTTTTTAATAGTCATAAACAGTAGGTACAGTAATCATTACTATAAGCTCCCTGAAATAATTTTTTGTGTAAAACGAGTAAGGTTTTTTATTATTCGATCTCATAGTTTTAAGATATTCAAAATTGTAATGTATTGACATTTTTTTGAATATATGACCTATGTAACCTACGTAAAAAATGTAGTTTTTTTTTAAATCGTAAAATTTGGCAGTACAAAGTGACATAAACCTAATAATAATAATTTATAATGTAACAACAACCTTAATAATTAATATGTACCCAATTTGCTCTCAACAACTTGACAAGATGTATTAGGCTCTAATCAGAATTGTTTTGTTCTGTAAAATTGTACCTACTACATTTTACTACAAATATATACTATTCTAAAACTAGGCTTGGCTTAAAATTCATCTTAATCTTAATAAAAAAAAAACGTATATCCAGTTTAAAAAATTATTCCATAACCTACTTACCTACAATCACGCGAAATACGACCTGTACAGGATTGAAGGTTTAAAATTCCTTAGATATTAAAATTACTTACCATTTTAAGGAAATTTTGAAACAAACCCTATAGAACCCCGTCTGGCCAGCGTTTTACCGGGCCAGGGGGATACGTATTCTAAATTTAAAGTGGCCGTAAGAGCTTAGGGAGGTGAAGTTTGGGAGTCCAAAAAACTCAACGACCGAAAAAACTTCCCAAAAGTTAAAAATTTTGCAAAACGCCCCGCCAAAAGTGAGAGAGGTACAAGGTTATAAACATTCAAAGAAGTGGTGCATATTAAATTAATATTAAATCCATTTAGACATGAAAAGCTTCCCCCATTTTGGATCCCGCGTTTCTCACGTTAGACCAAAACGGGGTTCGAATAACATTTCCAACGCTTTTGCCGCTTTAGGCGCAAAAAATCCAATAATTATTAGATGCAACTTGAAACACCTTTAAACGCCCGAAATAAAAATCAGGTTGTAGATTACAAGGAACTAGTTGAAAAAATATATTTAAAAAAGGTCTTGTATCTTTTTTTAGGGGGGAAACTTTTCAGCCCCCCCCTGAGTAGGCCAAAAAAACCTCTTTTCTAAAAAAAGGCCATGCCAAAGCGGACTTTTAAAGGCTTTGTTGTGATGTATTTTATACTTCACTTTTATTTTAAATTTTTTAAAATTAAAATTTACCCCGGGGACGTATATTAATTAATTAAACAAACTCTTTATAGTTATTTAATTATTATTTTTTGGGGAAAATCCCACATAGGAATAAACCTGTGTCGCGGAGGACTTTACAAACATACTGAAACGGACCAAGTACACTCGACTCAGGAAAAAAATTTGTAGATCACACAGTGTTGTCCCGTGTGGGATCGACCCACAACACTTAGCGCGTAGGAAGCGGCGAGGTGACCGTTTAAACTTTACGCCTCCGTCTTTTTGTCAACTTTTTAAATTCTTTTCTTTTACGCATGTTTTTGCTTTTGAGCGAGCGACCCGCGGTTTAAAAAAACCTATTTAGTGCATTTTTTGTGAGTTAAAAGGGGTTTTTCCCGTAAATTTTTGCAAGGGGAATTCTTCCTGAAAAAAATATACCTAATTTTAATTCGCTCCCAAAGTGGGGATACCTCTACTTCATATCCATCTGAATTGCTGTATAATTTTTTTTTCCCCCTGTTTTTTCTACTTTATACCCCTAAAGCCGATGATTTGCACCTATATCAAGAAACCGTAGAAAACATTTCTAAAAAAACACTTAGGTAGACTGCGAAAATGCTTTTAACAATTTTTGTCTCGTCAATTGTGCATTCCGTAAAAAATGCAATATTTCCCCTAACTTCTTGCCCAAAAAGGTATCTTCAAAAAAATTCCTTAAGAGTTCTAATGACGAAAGGGAAAATGCAATATACCTACCGTGTGAAAATATAAGTACGGGGATGTTTTCTAGACGGGGTTTTTTGAAAGAAAATTAGGTATATAATTATCATAATATTGTATAAAGGTATGTGAAAGAGTCGATAGGTGTGTTTTAAATTAAATTATGGTCTATTCATTTTAGCAGTATGTTCCCTCTTGCGGACGGCGTAATCTATAACTTTGTTTTACAGAATGCTGAAATATTTTCCTATCGCCAACCACCTTTTCCCCCATAGTCCCGTTCAAAAACGCTGTAGAAACAGTATGATTTGCATACTTTTAAATTCTTTTTCCCCCCAATCTGCCTTTAGACATGGAGCTAGAAATCCAAGTTTTCACTGCGTACATAATTTCGTTGGCTGTCCCCACACGGGGTCGTAGTTTTTTCGATACTCCCGAATCGGGGGCAGCGTTGTCGTTTGTTTCCCCACATATTTTTTTTTCAATTAAAAATTTTTTTTTTTAAAAAAAAAGCGTTCTTTTAATTTGCAAAAGTAATTAGATCTAAACCCTATTTTTAAAGGTTTAAATTTTATTTAGTTAAATTGTTTTTAAAAATTTTAATAAAGGGGTAATTTTGACAGGCTTTTAATAAAAAAATTTGCGGTAAACTGTCGATCTAAACACAAATTTAGGGGGGGATTTATTTAAGAAGAATAGGGGTAGTTTAATAGTAATACGGGTTCCTAAAAAAGGGAAATTTTTTTCCCGATCCATTTTTTTGATTTTTGACAAGTAAAGACCGGAATTTTTTTAATCAATTTTAAATAAAAACCTTTTAATACGGACTGTATAATATAATTTATTTTGGTAAAAACATCGTGTTCAACGGTTTTTACAATAATTTCTTAATCGTATTACAATATATTTATTAAACGTGATTAAATATTTAATGTGCATGATTTATAAATACTGATTAAATAGAAAATATCCAAATTTCAATATTTTTTTGTTTGTTTGTTGAATTGAAAGTGGCAATATCAATTTTACATTATAGTTTAGTTACTGAAATAATATTACTTAAAAAACCAGCAGATTGAATCTAGTATCAGGTCCACCTATTTCACAGTCCAATTAACTTATTTAAAATAGGCAACACCTATTTCTTAAAAAATAGCAAGGACATAAAGAAGAACCGATTTAATTTATTAATCTTTAAAACCCAGTGATAGCACTGGGTGTGCACTGTAGCTTATGTGTGTTAGGAAAATTGAAAAAGAACTGCCAACAAGTGTTCACTTAGTTGGTGGACTTAGCAGCCGTTGAAGAGCTCCCTGGAAAATGATGACCCTTTGGTTTTGGGGAAGTTGCCTTCATAAATCGTGTAATCTTGGCATCTCTCATGAGCTTCTCAACAGGATACTCGGTTTTGGAATCCATTGCCGCCAAGATTTGGACAGCGTCGGCTGCTGCTTTGTTAGCAAACTTCCGAGGCGTGGCACTTAGCCACTGACGCGGCCCCCGGGTGTTTTTCTGACCTGTGGATTTATTTGTGTCATTTTCACGCTAAAACATTTATTTGTATTTAAGCACTAACATAAATACTTATAGTACTGATCACAAACTTAATTTTCTTCTGACTTTACTGTCTTGTTTTAGTAAACATGTGCAGTTTATTTAAATTAAATATAAAAGACTCGAAATCAAATGTTCAAAAGGAAAAACTAGTTTAAAGATATTCATTTTAGTCACCGTAATATTATTCATACAAGTTAAAATCGTAATAGTTGTAAGAAGGGTCCCACCGTGGTCAACCCGCCAAGCAGCTCTCAAACCATGCCAAGCGTGAAGTTTCAACGCCAATACCATGTCAGCTAGCATGAAGGCGACCGCTTGGTGATGGGCGGATGGGCACACCGAACGTCTTGCGTTCTAGTGCGTTACTTCGTAGCCTCGTCTAATGCACGCTGGGCTAGACCAGTGGCACCACAAGCTACCTGTTGGGAAATAAATCTCTTGGATTAAGTTTTTAATCAGATTCAGATGATTTTATATTTTGTTTTTTGTTTTATTATCCAAAGAGAGTCTTTGAAAATACAAAAAAAAATAAAATCAGAAAAAAAATGTAGTCCTCGTCTTTAAAACCCGGTTAATCTGTTTTTTAAATTTGCGTGAAGAAAAATATAGGAACTAAAAAAAAAGTCGTCCATTAAGGATGATCTCATGTCAAAAAAGTTAAATTTTAATTTTGGAAAATTTTAATAATTTTTGTATTTTTTCTTTTAGAATTTTAATTTTTCCCGAATAGTCTGTTCTAATTTTCTTTCCATTTTTACGGGTTTTTATGTTTTTATTTTTTTACGAAAAATATTTGAAAGATATGTATGATAAACAAGAACATGTATAAATTTTCATTCTTTGCACATTTCCCCCCTACGGGGGGAGTCAAACTCGAATAAATAAAAAAATAATTTTTAAACTGCAAAAAAAAATTAAAATAAAACACCCCATTTAGTATGTCGTCATTTAGTTTTTGTCTTTTTTAAACGCTTACAAAAATTTTTAGTTCATTTGTTTCAAAATTTTTATTATCATCGTCATTTCAGTCAAATTATTATTTCCCTAAAAAAAAAAGCTGATTGAACAGTTTTGTCCTTTTGTCGCGAACGAACATAAAACACAAGGGCCGTATATCCCAACTTTTTCAGTGAAAGACCTCGTCCTAGTTTAAAGCAGGTCATATAAAATTTAAAAAAGCTTCGAATACCCGGGGGGCGGGTTTTGCGAAGGCCCAGGCGATCTTAAAACCTGCCCCCTTTGCCGATGAGCACGTTCTCCTTGGGAAACGCACATCCTCGAAGGGTTTTACCCCGGGTATCGAAGCACGCGGCCCATGTTTTTTTCCACGTAAACACGATAAATTACTTTTTTAATTAAAATAACAAACATTAAAACGTAATTACAATTTTGTAAACCCTCAAAATTTTTTTGTGGGGGTAGGGGGGGGAGGAGCAGAGGGGTCACCGGGTGGTAAGTAAATTTCCGCCCCCCAGGATACCCAAAACAAAAGTCCAAAAACAGTTACCCCTTTTTTTCCTCCCCCACAATCAGGGGTAGGGGGTTTGGGGTCCGGTGACCCCACTCACTGGTTAAAGGAACGAAAGATTGTTTTAAAAAAGTTTCCCGGAAAAGTATCCTCCCGGGGGGCCCGGCCCCTTTGTCTACCCATAATTTTTTTTATTTTCGAAATTTTTTGTGGACAGTTTTAGTTAGGGCGTTTGGTACCTTGCGTCCAGGATAAAAGGGAATCTCTTTTGACGATGAAAAACCGGGGAAAGCCTTTTAGCGGGACACTTAGGGGGGGGGTTGTGCGGGGGGAGCACGAAGTACCTATGACTGAAGCACTTTCAATTTATTTTGTAATAAATAAAATTGTAATTATTAAAAAATTTAAATTTTAAAACTTGTTTATTTTATAAAAAGGGGAAAA